CTTGTTAGTGTCCCGGAATCGCCGCCGGTATGCCTCCGGGGTCACAGCATATCTGGCCAACAGGGCATCTTTCACTGCCCTGTAGCTGGTAAGTTCCTCCTCTGGGATGGCCCGAAACGCCTCACTGGCCCGGCCGGATAACTTCCCAGAGAGGATGGGGACCCATTCTCCTGCGGGTACCTGGTGTAAGGCACATTGCCTTTCAAAATCCGCCAGAAATCCATCAATTTCTCCTTCGGCTTCTACAAAGTTCCGAAATGCAGCAAAAGGTACTTTTCTCCTTCCATTATTATTGTTATAAGGCACCTCAGCTGCTGCAGCGCCTCTTCCTTGAAGCGCCTGTTGTGCTGCTACTGCTGCTTGTACTTGCACCACGATATCTGCTGCGGGGTTGGGGCCAAAATGTGCCAGCCTGATCTGAACTGCCCGGTTAAACTGTATCTCTTCGGGTGTTAACTCCAGTATGCCAGGCACATCCGCTCCCCCCGTTCCCTGTGCTGCATCCATTTCCAATAATATCGAAATAATCTCTCTTTTCTTGAGATTACTCGCTGATCGTCCTCTGCGCTCCAATATATCTTTAAGGGTAGCACGCCTTAACTCCTCATACTGCATTTCCAACCTGGGATGTGTAGCTGGCCTTCTGGGCTGTAGGATTCATCCCGTCGCTTGCCACCAATTGTTACGACACGTACCGTCGGGTAGATGAAGCCGCCGTTTAGGCAATAATCCCCTTCTCCAGAAATGCAGTTTAAATCCAGCCGATCGCCAAACTCCCGAACGAAGTCCACGAACACGGCAACTCCCGATCAGCCAAACAGTCGAACGCCTTCCACAGCTAGAAATAACGAAAGCGCTGTCCCAGTAATAATTCCCCCACAAACGAGACCAAGCTCCGTCTTGAGGGTCAAATGAAGTTCTGTTTAATGGGGGCTACCTGCCCGGTATTTATGCAGGTCTCCACAAGGTGGACACTCCCCGAGGGGACCTTGTGGAAGACTGTAAAACATATTGGACAGTAGCCAATCGCAGTGGCTTCAATAATAGCCCTTCCCATCTGGCCCATAATTCCGTCTTCTCTACCTCGGAGATAATTGGGAAGAAACCTAATTATCTCTCAAGGTAGAGACAATCGCCATCTTGAAATACAATAACAAAAATACATTAAAATACATAACGACAGAAATACCGAATGCATATGGTTCGTGTAACGTATCCCCAGACAGCCTGGATCTGAGGGCATGTTTTCACCGAACAGCGCTCAGATCCGATGTATCTAGTCGAATCGCCATGGAGTCAAAGTCTTTCACCAGTCCTTCGGTATACGAATGACTCCATGGGATGGCTGTCGGGGTGAAAGTCCATACGAATGAATAAAACTCCCGAACGACCGACGTTCGCATGCCTTGTCGAAAAGGAAGGTAGGCAGCAGCTTTTCAGCGGTGTTCGGTAGTTTAAGTGTCCGTTTTAGGCCAGGAGGTTAACCAGCAGCACACTCCTCTCCTGGGTGGTCGTTCGTTCGGTAGTTTCAATCGGCATTTTGCAAATTACACGAACGGGGGTATATGAACAGGCAATTCCGCGAACAAAGGGAAACAGACGAACCAACAATGCAGATGAATCTGTCACAATACGCATTTCTGAAGAAGTAAGTTTTTGGGGAGGGCGGGCGGGAAACTGTTCCAGACTGCTCCTACTGCACTGGTGAGTCCCACCCCCCTGCTCTCCCTCTTATATCCCACTATATAGGCAACATTGTATCTTTTATATTCCCACCCCTTACTGCAGGGAAGCAGTCATGCCTCCCCTTCCTTGCAGTCCAGGGGATATCTAGAGGAAAGTCTAACAGAGAAAATATATGACGTTTGTATCATTTTATTGCTTAAATTATTGAACAGAGACAGCTGAACCGAAGACTTCCAATGTACGCAGCAAATGAGTGAGTAATGCATTTAACTTTCATTTATGTGGATTTATCTCATTTTCAGTTGGGGTAGCATTTTTTTATTTCGATATCCAGAGTAAGTTTTAGATAGAGTAGCAACATCTCGTTTTAAATAACAGGTCTCCTCTTGGGGTGTTAAAATACAATTCCTTAATTTTCATTGTAAACTCTGAGAACAAGGTTATTAACGAACATGAGAATTGAAGGGCATTCAAAATGAATTGAAAGTGAAATTCATATTTAAGGCCAAAGTAGCCAAACTGGACTCGTAGGTGACTTGGAGAATAAATCCAGTTTGGCACTTTCGGCTTGAAATTTGGAATTCACTTGAAATTCTATTTGAATTGTTGACAATTTTCCCTTTTGTAAATTACCCTGTTAAGACTGTCTCTTTTTCTCTGTGACTGGTGTCACTTTTAGTCCGGTGGAGGAGGAGAGAAGGACAGGACTTGGCCGAGGCTTGACTGTAACGAGGAGTCAGTGAAGATGAATGACAACGACTTGACTTAAAACGTAGGAATAAGGACTGTGGAAGAACAAGTGATGGCTACCTTTGGTTTCTAGATAAACTACATTCCATTGAATAATGGCTGGTTACCTTTGATTAGAAATATAGTTTAAAAGATCTTGGAGGTAGAAGCTTTGTTAAGGTCCAAAAATACCCAGGACTTGAGCCTAAAACAAAATGTGGTGACCCCTCCAAAAAGGAACAGTACCGCATGATGGCCCCATACTCTTCCAATGATTCTCAAAGAGAATGACTTGATTAAATACTTCTGATTGGCCAAGTGCAGGGACTGTCACGTTCCCGCTATAGGTCTCCAAAACTTTTTTATCAGACGCATTTGATTGGACTGAGATCCTCAAGGTAGGAGTGGCTGAGGATAGAAGACTGTCTGAATTACTGGTAAATTTAATGGATTTTGTAAAAAACTTTTTCACATTTTTTTTTAAAATTCTTTATTTAAGAAAGGACAGATACGGGGCGGAGCCTGGCGCTGAACCGGACCGGACGCCATCTCTCCCAGCTCCGTCGATCGCACTCACAATCTAGGCAATATCCTGGAGACTAGCCGCCATCCGCCGGCGTAAGCAACAGCTACAACCTGGGGACACCACACCGAACCCCCAGATGCTCTTCCAGTACTCCCCGAGGCATTTAAAAGTAAGACGCAGGACCGGGGCCTACCACACACCCGCCAACCGCGACCTCGAGTTTCTCTGGGGCGGGGACCCCGCGGGAAACACAGCCGAGTGGTGGCCGACCCTGACATCACCTGCTAACACAGCAATGGGGCGTAGAAATCAGAAGGGTACCCCCAGCAACGCTCCAGAACAGAGGGACATAGGAGCTATGCTCCAACGGCACACCTCCACCAAGATGGCGGCCGCGGAAGGCCCGACCTCACCAGAGGCTCCCCACACAGAGGCATCTGCAACACTCCAGCTGCAGAACACAACAGAGAGCTCACAGCAACAGCCCACAGCATCAGCAGGTAATTCTGAACCTGCAACCAAACAGGACCTCCAAACCCTGTACACTATGCTACAGGACATTCAAAACCTCCTCACTGCAGACCTGCCTATCCTAAAATCATCCCTACATCAACTAACAGGCAGAATGGAGGCAACTGAAACAAATATTAAGGAGCTAAGCCAAGACACATCTGCCATGCAGGCATCTATACTCCAACTACAAGCAGCCCAACAGGCCCTTACACTACAAGTGGCAGCGCAGGAGGACAGGTACCGCCGCAACCACGTAAAAATAAGGGGCATCCCGGCCACGGTCCCCCAAGAGGAACTGCCACACTACGTCAGAAGGCTGCTGGCTTCAGTACTGCCACCGGCTACCGCTAAAAAAATAACCATAGCTGGGCTATATCGAATACCAACGTCTACCTTAACTACCGCCAAAACGCCCGGCGACGTCATACTCCGCTGCGCACTACCTCAAGACAAGGGGCAAATAATGGCAGCGGTAAGAAACAAGACTCCACTGCCCTTTGAAGACTCGCAACTGTCCTTCTACCAGGACTTATCAAAGGCCACACTACAATGGCGAAAATCTCTGAACCCTGTCACCACCCGACTGCGGGCAGCAGGAGTGCCCTACAGGTGGGGAACACCACGATCCCTCCTCGTCTCGTACAAGGGGTCCACGCAACGGCTAACTACGGGGACTGATATCCCAGCATTCCTTGCAGCGTTAGACATGCAAGAGGCAACGGTAGCACCAACGGACTCAAATCGCGCACACGGATGGGACCCATCCAGAGTGGTACCATTTGTGCCCAGAACTGTAGCCGATTGCCCACCTGATTCCTGACTGGCAGGGACATCTCCAGCCCGGTCCAAACCTAACGGAGGGACTCACTGATCCGGCAGCCCTAGGCTGCAAAGTTGCAAAGTTGTAGAGATGTACAGTTCTGCTTGTTCTTGTGTTATCACCTTTTTTTTTTTTTTTTTCTTTATACCGTATGTCTATGTCCCCTGCGGTAGACTCACCCATTAGAAGACACAATTTTCCGCCTGGGCCCACTGGGCAGAGAGACACCAGGCTCACTACACCCAAACACTCACGAAGCTGCGCCAGCTATGACCCTAGTCCGGTTGCATCTAGCCACACACGACCAATCATTGAAGCGCACACACCCCCCCCCTCCGCTACCCCCTTGGTCAGGGGCTATGCCTCTCTTTGAGAGGTCAACCATGCACAAACCATCTCCCCCCACCCCACCCAGGGGAGGAGGGCAAAGCTTACACCACCGACACTCGAGTGCAGATATTGCCTGATTTAACTAAGTTAGACATGTTATTAAACCTCTTGTGATCAAAACCTATGCTACTGTAACATGTTTTTGCTTACATCCTGTTCTGAGCGACATTATTTTAACACTATAAAATGTGCTGATAAGTTCATTGTTCCAATTGTTAAGTCTGAAAACATGCTCAGGGAATGCTATTGGGGCACCACGAGCTTGCTTGTTATATGCTCAAAGCACGATAAAAATAAAGAATTAAAAAAAAAAAAAAGAAAGGACAGATACAAAAAGTCTGTTCACAGCAAAATATGAGATCATTTCTTCTCACAGATTTAAAACATTAAAAAAAATGAAAACTTTTTACAGAAGAAAAGAATAAATCAAGTAAAGAAAGGGTTGTAACATTACATCTTAAATCTTACATTACTGTATATAAAAACATATTATCAGCAAAACTCCCATTAGTTGGCCTAATGCCTGTATGAGTAATTGTATAAGTAATAAATATAAATGCAGAATGTGGCTCAGGAGTCTATTGGTTCCCACACCGCTATTTGAAATTCATATACAGGCAACAAACAAGGATCAGTAAGGGGGTCACACGAAAAGGAAGACAGAGGAAAAGAACGGAGGTGGGGGAGAAGGTCAGTGCTATGGTGGTCAGTTCGATGACTAACTCTAAGCTCTGATATTAATCAACTCAAGTTTAAATATTCCTCCCAGATAGACCGAGTTTTATGATAAGAACGGAGGCTAGCCCTGACTGTTGCTGTGAGGCGACCCATTATTCTGTTGTCTTCTACAAAAGTTTTAACCTCACGTAGGTTCTAGGTAACTCCTGCTTGAACCATTTGGTTGCTATAAATCGTCTACCTGCCAATGTTATTTTATTATAAAGTTTTTTCTTCTTCGTAGGAAAACCCTCCACAGGTAAAAGTTTTTCTCATTTTTAAAGGGGGCCTTGACTAAAAACCAATTAAAAGAATACTCCAGGCAACATAACCACTACAATGCACTGTAATGGTTATGGTGCCAGAAGTGCAGCACCTCATTGCAAGGAGTCAAGCCATTCAAAAATGGGGAGGGACCCAGCCTGCTCCGCTGCCCACCACCGCTACTGTTCAGTGAGATAGAAGCTCTTGTTCAGAAGCTTCTGTTAGTTCTCTCTTCTGAGCTAAGCCCTTGGCTGAGTGTCAGTAGTTGAGCCAATGAGCTAAGAACTCCACATGCTGGGTTTAGCTCAGTGACGAGAGCTTGGGGCTCTCGCTGAGCTGTAGTGGTGCTGTAGCATGGTGGCCATGTAAGAAATTATTATTATTATTATTGCGATTTATATAGCACCAACAGATTCCGTAGCGCTTTACAATATTATTAGAGGGGGGATTTGACTCTAAATAGGACAATTACAAAAAAACTCACAGAAACGAAGGGTTGAAGAGGTCCCTGCTCAAACGAACTTACAAGTCAAACAATTCTAATAAGGTTTGAGTCCTTGCAATGAGGCAGCACCAGATCACTCCTAGCACCATAACAACTACTGCCACAGTAGTTCTTATGCTGTTTGGTGAGTTCCTTAACTCCCGAAGATAAAAAAAAAAAAAAGACGCGTGTAGAACAGGATATCTCATTGAGCATTTCTTGTCTTATTTTAAGAAATATTAATCAGCTTGCTCACATTCCCTTGTTGGCGAAATTTCCAAATTGCGAGTAGACATGTGCACTTGCATTATTAGGTGCAGCCAATTTGCTCTCATTCACTTGTAACTTCTATGGCTGAATAAACCAGAACGACTGTTTCATTTACTATCTCTGGTTTATTGGTTTTGTCTTCACTTTATTTGACTGTATTGTTTTCCTGTTATCCCAATCTCACTTGTATTTAGTTTTGCTCTATTTTTGAAACACAGACCCTGGTTTCTTTTGCAATATTGAGTACGTTCTTTACCCTGACCTTGGCTAGCATTAGGTTTTTATTTTTTCTATCTTGTATTTTTACCTCGTAAGAGGTATTACAGTAAGCCCAGACAAAGTACGTTAATATTTCTGTCTTTGCTTGCTTTTTGTCTGTTCTTCATTGAGAATGTTGATTTTTAGGTTCATTTATTCTCTGGCACCTTGACTCTTAAGAAGAACGTATTTCATTAACAGAGCAAGCTATAACCTTTTAAAACACAAAAACCTTTTAACTATCTACCAGAAACCGTAAATACCTCAATACATTCCATTCTGTTCTCCAGGTTTCATTGGAGGCACCAACTTTCTCGAGGATTCCAACCTTGATTGGAACCTCCAGTCTACAAGTGGATTGCATCCTCTTCTCCAACTCTTCTCCAAAAGTATTACAGCACCCACACAAAGAATATAATCACATCTTTATTCTTTATAACATGGACAATAGATAATAATAACAAAAGACAATAATACCATACTTGTACCATAGAGCATTGTATGTATTTTGGATACCCTTGCAGCAGGAGGAAATAAAGTCACTTGATAAATATTACTGTAAGCAGCAGATGACACAGGCAAGACGTCACAGTAACGGTCCTAATCAGTTAATGTCATTACCAACTGGGTTACAGCTTCATCTTCGCAAGAGGACAATGAAGTAAACGTAATCTAGACAATCACATGACACGACAAAACAAAAATTAAATATATGTACAAACTATAATATATTATTTCCTACATGTTTGTTGGATTTCCAGTTTTCGTCTGGTGACAATGTACCACCAATAACATGACCTATGTTGTTTTGTAGTAATCTAGGGGTTGGACTCTATTATACACCGGATGAACATGGTGTCCTCTTTAACATAGTTATATGTGGGTGAGTGAAGTTTGGCAAGAGGGCAGAACAATGGGCAACCGCTGGCAATGTTCATGTCTGCTATAGGTCGCTGGAATGAGGCAGACGTGTAATCGGGCCGGAAGGCGTCAAGTATGTGCTCTCGATTGCTTTGGTCTAGGAGCATGAAAGTGACCTGGAAAAGTAGACAACAAAGAGTAAAAAATAACAAGCAGTAATCAAAGTAATCATATGACTTTTTGTTAAAAAATAAAATAAAAAATTAGAAAAACAAAACAAAGGCACAACATATTCTATGAAGTGAGCCGAATGACTGTGTGCACCAAAAGGCACATGTAAAGGTTTAATGATATGGAGGCCCTAATAATCTGGCTTCTGCTGTTTACAATAAAAAGTTCAAAGGTTATCCCATATATCTAAACCCAGACACAGCTTTGGCCAATATTGGCTCCCCTAGTGGAGTCAACTAGTACTGCACAAGGCACAGGTGTGAGATGCTCATTGTGCAGTGAAGGCTGTGAATAACCACATCCACGAACATACAGTTGTGGCAAACCTAGCCACTTGGACTAAACAGGGACAATATGTTTTAAGGGTTGCCTGTATCTTTTGTGTATGTGCCTATTGGTAATCTGCTGTATCCTGCATGCTGTATTGCTTGTATTGGCTACCTGCCGAAAGCAGATAGTAATTTTCTATTTCGTTTCACGAACGGCACCTTTGCGAGCCGTTCATGAACCGAATGAACCATCTTTCAATAGCCTACACACTAAGGGACGTGTGGCGCTTGTTATCCGATTGCAACAATGCTGCAATCGGTAATTAGAGGCTCTCCTAGGTGGCCGCCGTTCGGCTACCGACCACGCGGCGGTTGGCCATCTTGGATCCTTTGTTCCCCAGCGGTGTTTGGTCGTCGAGCGCATGGAACTGAAAACGGCTACTTGACGGCGCGAACACCGCTGGGCTTCCAGACCGTTCGGGAGTCCCGGGCCATTCAGTAGTTTGGTCCATCTATGTCAATCGGTATTTTTAACCTGTGTTATGAATAATGTGTTTTTTTTGTACGGCGTTCGGTTGTTTTAGCTGGGATCTGAGCTGTATTCACACGAATGGTGTGCTCAGACCCCAGCTATCTACCAAACGTCCATTCGTTTAAATCTGTCAAGTATTCGAAAAGTTATTGTCACGGAACGCTGGCACTCCGACTGAGTACCTCCGCCAATCGATGCTCCTAGCGCTTGCCGAGGACTCCAAGCACTCCAACCGACACCATCAGCACTGCAGACCCCACTTCCAGCGATGCAACTGCGCTGGGGTCTCTGCTGTCTCCACCCACCCTGGACCCAAGGCCAGGATCCAGCTTCCAGTGGGTGAACCTCTCTTTCCCCAGAGAGCAGGAACAAGCTCTTAGCAGAACTTAGTGATCATACCCTGGGGAGTATAGTGATTATAGCAATCCCCAGAGTGTATTTCTCCAATCCCCCAAACATGAGCCAAGGCTTAATGCTGGAATAAGACTGATTTATTGGCACACAGAACTCACAATTTATGCAACACAAAACTCCTCCTCTGGGCCAGGCTAGATAATTGAGTTTCTACAATACACAAAGCTCAATTATCTGCTGGCCAGAAACATTACAATTTCATAAAACACACAGGGACCCCAAAACATGCAATAACCCCATAAAAAGTATATCCTTGGAACCGGGGGATCTGGGTGAACCACATATCCAAAATTCACCCAGATCCGTTCAGTACTTTGGAAAATACAGTTTAATGCAGATTCTGCAGAACATATACAGGCTAAATGAAAAACAATCACTGTATAATGTGTCCCCTGCTGTATAGTCCAAAACCACTGCACGATGTCTCTGTGCACCAAATACTGGCGAGATGGCACCGTGTTGAAAAGTCCAAACAGTGTCTGTGAGTTAAAATGGCCGCCATCCATTGTTCTCACCATGTGCTTCTGATACAGGAAATGGTGGCCACCCAGTAACTCCACAGTATGTCCCCAGATGGTTCTTAAAGGGCCAGCAGCAGCACAACACAAATCCATTTTGCCCAAATCATGTCTTTAAAGGGCAATACATCCCAGGGGCCATAGTCACAGGGCAAGAGGCGGGCAAGCAGTCCTCTCCAGGCACAAGTGGCGAAGGGCACTTCGTCACAGTTATGTATTTTAATGTGAATTGTCGGTTCTGCTGCACGAAGGGATAATCCACTTAACGGTATATTCCAGTGGGAGTATCCCTCTCGTGCAGCAGTGCCTGATGGGAGAAAGGCTCTGTACATTAAGTTTCCCATGTAGTCCACTCCTGTAATGCCCCTGGGATAGGACTCAGGAAACCCCTTGCATTGGGAATTGTATAAATTGTGGAGCCTGTGAATAAAGACCTCAGTTGACTCCCAGCCTATGTGTCGTCTAGTTCTTGAGAAGGAAGGATTACTACAACGCTACCGGGATTATTGTATGCTGTATTTATGCCCCTGGATTATCTTATGTTGTTCCTGTTACCCAGCGGAGATATTGTGGATTATACTGCCTCTCCGCTACACAGTTATCAGAAATTGTCATTGTGACAGATCACACTGTCCCTGAATTATTGTTCTATATCGAATGGTTCGGTATACGAACATCACCAAAACAAATTACCCCATTTGGTTCGTATACCGAAGAAAGTACCGGATGGACAGACCACCCGCAACAGTTTTGTGCCGCTCATTGACCTACTTGACCTCATTCACACCTTCACAAACCGATTTACCCTAATATTCCAAGCGGTCGGCTGGGTGGCCACCGTTCGTATGGACGAAGATGAGGTGGAGCCATCTTGTTTGGAGGCCTACAGCAGTGTTTGGTCGTCAAGTGTATGGAACTATTATCGGGCACTCAACGGAGCGAACACCGCTGGGACTTCCAACCCCACAGGTTCTTCGGTTCCATTTGTCTGAGAAGAGTGCGTTCGGTGGGAGCAAACTCCTGAACGAGGGGCACATGACCAATGTATGCACGAACAGTTATCTTCGTTATACTATTATATTTTTGTACTCCCGAAAGAGACCGACCGTAACGCCTGAATTCATGGAACTCTTTTGGGACTCTTTTGAGTGCTTTTCGGATATGTTGGGCGCTCAGATCCAGGCTACCTGGGGATATAGGACTTGAGGGAGTACCTAATTGTTAAGTGTATATTTTGGGGTGTTTTTGGTATGTATGCCCTAGACCTGAGAGTTAATGTAATTACAATGTGTACTTTGTCACAGTCCCCTCTCAAGTCCAGTGGGGAATGCCCCTGGAATATGTAGTAAGAAACCCCTTGCATGGGGTCTTGCATATAAGACCAGTTGTGGCTGCCAATAAAACAGTTCAACTTCACCCTCAACACAGAGCCTCGTCTCGTGATTGCAGGGAACAGCTATACCTGCTTTATTACCGCTTGGATCACTGCTTGGGAATAATACAGCATTACTCATACTAGGGGGAAGGGACATCTCTGGCGGCGGAAACCCCTCTTCAAACAGGGTGGCCGCCACAGTCATTATTTACTGTCTAGCTATAGTTTGATTCTAGTGCAAAAACCATTCTCTGGTGTCCTGTAGATCAGTAGTTCCCAACCCAGTGCTCAAGAAACTCCAGCAGTCCAAGATGTAGGTATTTCCCAAATATCCAATGGGGATAGTGACAAAGCCTGATCCATAGGTTTAGAAAACACAGAGCTCCTTATTAATCTAACTCTCTGTAATGTGAGTGATGCAAAAGTGTATCACAGAGCTTCAACATAATAAAACTCACAGTAATGTACAGTGTGTGTGAGTGTATCACAGAGTTCCACAGCAAATAAACAGTAACATATTTTTCTAATGAATTATAAAGAAATAATATTACTCTAAATTACAGGCAACATGTTGAAAGGTTTAAAACGCAATATGAGATCATGCATAGCCGAGAACTAATTACTGTAATTCTGTTCATTTTTAACACGGGAATTTAAGTTTTTTTTATTTCCCGTTTCACACAATGTTTAGGGAGAGTCAGAGATTAACTATCCGTCAGACAAAGAAGTGACTGTGTGGGATATTTACCTTGTGCTTGAAAGGCCAAAAGAGAAAAGCATCATATTCCCCTTTCATGACAGCAAAGAAAAGAGAGACATGAGTTCCCCTTCCTGCTCCGTCTCCATTTAAATAAATCCTCAGACACGCTTTATAGCCGTACTTCGCAGAGTAGAATGCTGGAAATCAGAGAATGCAGAACACTTAGTGCCCAATCACAAAATCATAAAATATTGCTAAACTTGCATCGATATTAGCATTGCAGAGACTAGTTTCAACAACACTCCCAGAGTGCCTTGCACAATATGCAAATGAGCGCAAAGAGCATAGTCACTTTTACATTTCCAATCCTCGTTTCTGTAGGTTCCTTTAGCGACATTCTACTCTGCTCATCAAAACCCAACAAACCATCAGGGCTATTCATTAAATTGAGAATTTAGAGTGAATTTCAAATTTAGAGGCAATGTAGCCTTTGGATAATATAATTTAAAATTCAACCTGAATTATCTAGTGAATAAATCTGTAAATATTTTAATACATAGAACTCTATCATTCTAGGTCGAAGAAATTATTGACAGGTAGGGAGGGTCCTATCCGTTATCCCTACAGTAAATATGTTTTATAGATGGCATTTTACTGACTTTTAATCTATACTTCTATACTGAACAAAATTATAAATGCAACACTTTTGTTTTTGCCCTCATTTTTCATGAGCTGAACTCAAAGATCTAAGAGTTTTTCTATGTACATAAAAGGCCTATTTCTCTAAAATATTGTTCACAAATCTGTCTAAATCTGTGTTAGTGAGCACTTCTCCTTTGCCGAGATAATCCATCCACCTCACAGGTGTGGCAAATCAAGATGCTGATTAGACAGCATGATTATTGCACAGGTGTGCCTTAGGCTGGCCACAATAAAAGGCCATTCTCTCTGATCCTTGACCTAAAGAAGAACTAGACGCTAGTAGCGCATATCCCGAACGTCGGCCACTACAGCCCATCCCTAGCAACACCACTGCTGTTGCTTTAAATTCATGTGCATTCCAGTTAAAAAACACTTTCACAATATGTGGCCTTAGTACCTGGAGAGTACAGACTGGTGGATTGTCCATTTATAGCATCCTGACACCTCTGAGTTAGATTTGTAATTCTCCATACAAACACCCCGTCATACGTTGCCTGCTCAAGTGCCTGCAGACGTAGGCTAAGCTCGTTTATCTGGACATCCTTCATGGCCAGCGCGTGGTGATAACTGTCAATCTGTTCAGATGAAGAATACATCAGTGCTTACTTGGGATTGGAAAAAAAAAATAAGGAAATATTTTTCAAATGCAAGTTAAAGAGTAGTTATCGGATCAATCATTTAATTTGATTATTTGTACACTTTAAAAAGAGTATAGAAGCTTACCTCTTGACTTAATTAGTATGATGGGAATTTGAAGCCAGTTTTGTAAGGACACAAATTACCTGTCTCTGCTATTCGTTATGGTATGCACTAACTAGTGAATTAGGAGGATCTGATGGGCAAACGGAAAAATTCAGGGTGAAATGAGCACGTTAGGAACATTTCCAATCCAGTTAAACTGAGATGGATTTTCATCCCATGTCTGCTATTTTAATCTAAATTTAATAACTCATTTTTGAATGAGCTCTAATTTGCTAATATGTAGCAGAAAATTGGCGCCAATTTGTTTATTAAGCCTCCTTGTATATATTACAGGAGTGGCTTCCCCCCGGGGTAGAATAATAAAACTTTAATAAAGTATGGTTACTTGGGTCCCATTTTAAAGTTGAGAGACTTACAGTCATGGGCTTCCCTTCCTCGCTGATTTATATCTGATTGATACCTGAGCTCCGGCAACACGAGTTACAGTTAATTAAATAAATATAGTCTTCGATCAGTCATCAGTAAGGGCTGCAAAGGTCCATACATACCAAGGGGTCTCGCCCTTGAACTAGTATGGAAAATGTCAATATCCAATAGTTAGGAGGCATTCCAGTTTAGGCTTGGAAAAGGGCCAATTTCTGCTGGTCTGCTCTAATAAGAAGTATTTAAAAAAAAATTATCTCTGAAAAAAGTATTTACAATTTTATTGTTTTAATCCACAGTACCACGTGGCCACTTAGGGGGCTTCATATAATATAAATTGCACACATTTGAGGGGTTACTCCAAGCATCATAACAACTACAGCACAGTGTATTGGTTATACGTCTAGGAGTACACTTTTGCTGTTGTCTGCTAAGGGGGCAAACCATTCTGCTAAGGTTTGCCCAATTCCTGAGTTCTGCCGTGCTCAAAGCCTCTAATTGCGGCTGAATAGCATTTTGCTTCTGCGAAGTTGTCAATTTTGTCAGTCATTCATTAGGCAAGAGACTCAGCTGAGCACTCTAAGTCACTGAATGTCCCTCCGGATCATGCACAGAATTGACATTAACAAATGCTGCTGCAAGTGGGTTCACACCCAACAGCAATATACTATTTTGCAACATTTGAAACTGAAATGAATACAGGGTCCTTGCACCATAACCACTTCAAATCACTGGTCAGTGGTCACATTGCTTTGAATAACCCTTTAATGCTTTCTTGGCTTTACTTTTTTTGCTATACTAATTGCCAAGTTCATTAACACAAATATGTACAGTTAGTAATTGTGGGTCCCTCCCCAAGGGTGACATTTTATACGATAACCTTGGTGTTACTGCAATGTTGCTGGTGCATATTGATGTTTGTATTTATATAGTTTATGAAACCCTTGATAATTCTCAGCAGTCCCAGTGGTAGCGAATGAACCCAGATTGCCTAATTTCTTTGCTAAACGTTGAGAATGTTCACCATTGTGTCGAACACGTCTCACAGATCTCACCTTGTGCTCCATGGCTCTCATTCTTCTCTGCCTGACCACGTTTTGCTCCCTCTCGGACGCGAGCTGCGCATGCATGTTTTCCATCTCTCTGTTCAAGACGGTGAGAATATTCTCGGTTACTTGAATTCTTTGTTCTAGCTCATCTGATTGCTGATGAGAGGTATCCTGCAGATAAAAAAAATGAATGTCACCATCTCCAACCCAAATCCAAATCCAAATCCAAATTTAGACCTATTTCTTTCTATGTGCGAGGAAAAGGATCCGGGGCCACAACCCAAATGTACCTTTTTTTTCTTGCTTCCCTGTTCTGCCACTACAGAAAGTAGCAATGCGAGGTGTGCTGAGCTCGAGGACTTTTCATGTTCCTTTAACTTCTCTTTGATTCCCTGTAGAAACAAGGTTGAAATTTAATTGAATTCTTTGTAAGAAGAACTGTGACAGGGATATATACTAAAGTGGAAACTCAAGGTGATGTTTTTATTTTATTTAACCCCTTAAGGACCAAACTTCTGGAATAAAAGGGAATCATGGCATGTCACACATGTCATGTGTCCTTAAAGGACCACTATAGTGCCAGGCAAACATACTCGTTTCCTGGCACTATAGTGCCCTGAGGGTGCCCCCACCCTCAGGGACCCCCTCCCGCCCGGCTCTGGAAAGGGGAAAGGGGTAAAAACTTACCTTTTTCCAGCGCTGGGCGGGGAGCTCCTCCTCCTCCCTCGTCGCTGAATGCAGCGCGTGCAGGCGCATTCAGCGTCGATAGGAAAGCATTATCAATGCTTTCCTATGGATGCTTGCGTGCTCTCACTGTGATTTTCACAGTGAGAAGCACGCAAGCGCCTCTAGCGGCTGTCAATGAGACAGCCGCTAGAGGCTTTGGGGGAAGGCTTAACCCATTCATAAACATAGCAGTTTCTCATTAAGCTGAAGTGGTCTGCGTGCCTAGAGTGGTCCTTTAAGGGGTTAAAGGGACACTCCACTATCCAAACAGAAAATAAATAAAAATCAATGTTTAGTAGATATATCTCCAAATTAAAACATGCATGCATTTAGTTATGTATTTTTTAATTGGGGGTAAATCTAATAACAGCTTGTCTGCTGCCTTTGCAAACCCTCCCCTTCTAACCCACCCAGACTTTCTGAGGGTGCTGTATGTGTGTCTGAGGGTGCTGTGTGTGAGAAGGTGCTGTGTGTGTCTGAGGGTGCTGTCTGTGTCTGAGGGTGCTGTGTGTGAGAGGGTGCTGTGTGTCAGAGGGTGCTGTGTGTTTGTGAGGGTGCTGTTAGTGTGAGTGTGCTGTGTGTGTGAGGGTGCTGTTAGTGTGCTGTGTGTGTGTAAATATGTTTATTTAAATATGTATTTTTTTTTTGCCTGGGAGGAGGGGGAGCCATGCTGCCATGGAGGGGGGTCGTGCTGCCATTCCTGGTGGTCTTAGTGGTGATAGTGAACTCTAGCCTGCAGGGCTAGAGTTCTTTCTCGCAAGATCTGAGTGTTGCCATGGTAACCTCAGCAACGCTCCGACCTCACGAGAGGAACCCGTAAAAACTACTGGCTAGAGCTCCCCGAGTGCTCTCCTACCTCCTTCCTGCCGCATATCAATGCCTGTGGGCCTGTGAGGGAGATCTTTGATCACTGGCCCATGAAGGCACACAGCAGGGCTCCTGTGAGCTCCCCTGCCAGCCTCGGCCCATGGCCATCGTGGCCCACTGGGCATTTGCCCGGTATGCCCAATGGCCATTCCGGTCCTGATCATGGTTCTCCCAAATAGAAGAGCTCAGATCCATGGAGGACTTCCATACCAACGCAGCAGGAATACACCAATCATATATAAATACATGGACACACTGGCTGCTCTCGACTACGCGAGCAGATTTTACAGACAAACTACAGTATTGACCGACATAGACAGACTATGACCTTACTTCCTGGAACGTTGCATGACATTGACAGTACCCCAATGTCCTCACACCAACCCTATGCCCAAACTTCCCCTCTTTTACCCGCTGTCCCTAATCCTAGACCAAGGTTAAAAGTCGGCCGGCGACTTTTAACCTTGGTCTAGGATTTAACGGGAGAATGTGGAACACCGTTATAAGAGAACACCGGACAAGACAAGCTTGGTGAATGCAATAATATGTACAGGGGAATGATACAGGACCTGCGAGTCCACATGAAAACCCATCATATCAAACTATTACTGTGCTTTAAATGTTATGCTCGGGACCTGCGCATCCCACATTGGTCTGTTACTGCAGAATATATTCATGTTAAAACCAGTAACTATTATATTTACAAAAAAAAATAGTGCAGTCAAAGTTGACTTAGATTTGCACTTACCCTAAACGAGCATCCGACTTGAGAAAAAACACACTTCTCTTTTCCAGAGCCAGGCCCATTCTGTAACAATACAAGAGTTTTAGAATTTGTAGCCTTACATTTTTCTAATTCAGTTTGATATTTTTTTACTGAAGTGTTTTTGAAATGAGATTGGCACCAACAGAATTCGAAAGTATTCATTATTGTTATTAATTATTTATATATAAATTACGAAAGATTTTTATTCCGTAATACTGTGTAGAACATAAAGATTAGATTAGAGCATACATGTAGGCATTGCTTATTAGCAAACTAAGGGGCATTGCTAGGTGGCAAAATGACCAGGGGTTTCAGTTCAAGGGTAAATGTTATGGCCTCTCCCCTATGTATTGACTGGATACCCTCCTAAAATCATCCCTATACCAAGTCTAATCTAAAACGATTGCATGTTGTATAAATCACGACGTAAAACAAATTGATCTACAGGAACACAAACATGTATTCCTGACATAGTTTTAAACAAACTATTTAGGTAGCTACTTTCATTAGCTACTTTAGTTTTTTCTATCAGATTCTTCAGATAACCGTATCTCTTCTGAATAGCAACACCCCTAGATATAAGTGGATCTCCCCTAATAGAATCTAGCGCACAATTTATCTGATTGAAGCCCTCAAGTGTCTTCCTAAGGCCAGGGCCATCTTTAACGTGGGGCAGTTACTCCTGGAGGGTCCAAGGCAGCTGCTGTGTGGGCCCCGCTGCCCTCAACAATTTTTTTCCCTGTCCTCTAAGCAGTCCCACCGGGTGGCCCATGCACTTAGGGCCACCCAATGGGTTTGTATCAGCTGGGGCCCTTGCTTTTCGGCAGTATGGGAGGAAGAGACAGCCACGAGTCACTACCTCCCATAAAGAGAGCAGCTGCGCGGGAGGGGGCAGGAGGAGTTGCTCGGGAGGGAGGGGGCAGGAGGAGCAGCAGTGAGCTTCAGGCACCACACTGGACCCCAGGGAAGCCACCCTCCAGGAAAAGGTAGGAAACTGGAGAGTGGGTTTAAAAAGGTACATTTTACATGTGTGTTAATATGTGTGTGTGTGTGTGTGTGTATGTGTTAGTGTGTCTGTGTTTGTTAGGGTGTGTGTGTCAGTATATCTGTGTGTGTGTCAGTATGTCTGTGTGTGTATGTGTGTGTGTCAGTATGTGTGCGTGTGTGTCTGTGTGTTAGTATGTCTGTGTGTATGTGTGTTAGTTTGTCTGTGTATGTGTGTCAGTATGTCTGTGTGTGTGTCAGTATGTCTGTGTGTGTTTATCAGTTTGGCTGTGTATTTATCAGTATATATATGTGTGTGTCAGTATATCTGTGTGTGTGTGTGTGTGTCAGTATGTCGTATAGTGTGTGTCTGGGTGTGTGTCAGTATGTCCGTGTGTGTATGTCAGTATGTCTGTGTGTGTCAGTATTTCTGTCAGTGTATGTTTGTGTCAGTGTATGTGCCTTGGAAAGGCTCATGATCTGTTTGTTTGTGTGTGTGTGTGTCAGTATGTCTATCAGTGTATGCATCTGTGTGTCAGTATGTCTGCCAGTGTATGTGTGTCCGTTTGTCTGTCAGTGTATGTGCCTGTGTGTGTGTCAGTATATCTATCAGTGTGTCTCGGTATGTCTGTATATGTGCCTGTGTGTGTGTGTGTCAGTATATCTGTCAGCGTGTGTCAGTATGTCTACCAGTGTATGTGCCTGTGTGTGTCAGTATGTCTGTCAGTGTATGTGCCTGTGTACCTGTATGTTGTCAGTGTGTGTATCTGTGTGTTTATCTGTATGTAGTCAGTGTGTGCATCTGTGTATCTGCATGTGTGTCAGTGTGTATACCTGTGCGCCTGAGCACCAACATTACAAAATACAAAATACAAATACACCCCTCCATTCAAACTTCAACATTACATACACACACACACACTCCTGCATTGAAACGTCAACACTACATACAAACACACTCCTGCATTGAAATGTCAACATTACATACAAACACACCTCTGTGTTAAACACCAAAATTATATATAAACAAACCCCTACATTCAAAAACCAACACTACACATAAATGCACACTTGCATTTAAACTTCAACACCACATACAAATACATTCACACAAACATACTCCATACAAACACATGCTTATTGAGAAGCCTGGTTGCTCGCCTGCTGCCCTTAGACTATGGACCGGCAGTTAAAACACTTTATTTTCCCTGCAGAAAGGCTTGTTCGTGCCTTTCTGCCAAAGCGTTCAGTAGATTCAATCTACCGAACAAACTAACGAAGGCGTGACCACCGGGAAGCTGGCGTGTGCCGCCAATTGGCCTCCCTGAAGCTAGCGTGTGCCGTCAACTGACCACCCAGAAACTGCGGTTAACCGCAGCTTAATTGACTACACCGGGTGGTCGCGGTTACACATAGCTAACGCACGGTGGCGGTATTCTGCAGCTCCCGGACGGCCAGCACTGTTCAGCCCAGACTCAGTGAACTGAAAGCGGACACTTTTACTCGCGAACACCGCTGAGCCGCCAGCCTTCCCTGCTTCTAGCTCTGGTCGTTTAGCCGAACACCGGATCAATCGGGACTTTAACTATGTGAATGCTTTAACCCAGATAGCTATGCCATGGAGCCTATTCATGTAATAAGGGACTTTGGCTCCATGGCATTTGAACTGTATGTGTGAGATCTGAGCGGCATTCGGTAATAATGTGCGCTCAGATCTAAGCTATCTGTGGATATGTTACATGTGTGTATTTTATGTAATAAATGTAACATTGTATATTTTAATGTCTTTTATTGTCCTTTGTCTGCCATATGGTTAATGGAGTCTTGCCTCTGTCCTTGGAGATAATTGGATTACTTCCCAATTATCTCCAGGATAGAGAGGAGGGATTACAATGTATTGTGGGAATGTTTTTACACTGTATGTCTGTAATTGGTCAGTGTCTGTCCTGTATCCCAGTCTTCCATCTGGTCCCCTAGGGGAGTGTCCACCAGGTGGGAGACCTGCATAAAAGCCGGGCAGGTAGCCCCAGTAAACCAGATCACTGCTTGACCCTCCAAATGAAGTGTCGTCTCGTTCTTGGGGGGATTTTATTGTATGCTGTTACAGTTCGACTGCCAGGAGTGTAAACTGTTCGCATGGTTTTTCCTGTTCGGCTGTTTACAGCATTCGTATGGTTCCAGTTTGGGAGTTGGGGAATTTTTGTGTTTCCAGTTTGGGAGTTGGAGAATTCGTGTGTTTCCTGTTCAGGAGTTGGAGAATTCGTGTGTTTCCTGTTCGGGAGATTGGTGATTGCAGTAGCTGTTCGTATCTCTGGAAGGGGAAGATCGCCTAAATGGGTTTTTAACCTCCTGTGTGCAAAACGGTCAGTCACACTTATATTCAAACACACAAACACAGCTCAGTGCTAAATACAACCCTGCAAACATGGGAAATTGGTAGAGACACAGCTGTGAAAGCATTGTTGGAGTTGCACGACAGACATGGTTCTACCTTGTGTCCAAGCTTGCAATTGGGGGGCCCAATAAAATTCTTGCATCAGGGCTCTTTCTACTTTAGTTCCGCCACTTCCTTGGGGTGGATGCCGTGATTGCATTTCAGTGTGTGTGTGGAAGGGTGTGGGGGGAGGCATGGTCCAGGGGGCCAAAACAAATGCTTGCCCAGGGTCCAATCATTATTAAAGACAGCCCTGTGTAAGGCCCTTGTGAGTCCTCATGGATGTTGCAAGTTGTGCATAGAATGCCCTATTTGCAGTGTCCTAAAGTTAGTTGCTTCGTATAAGGGGCATATCTTACACCGTAGACAGGAAGCATATCTGAAATTCTATGCATCATTAGCCTATCCTGTCCAGTCTACGCCATCGCTCTACCCCATTCTTGCTTCCAGTTAAATAATAATAAGAGAACTTCTCCCTATTAGAGGTACAATACTGGCTATATTCACAAATTCTCTCACCTTTCCTTTTTTCTGATCTTCTGATCCCCGCTTTGGACACACGTGTCTCTTTAGTGGTAAATAAAAACAACAGTTACGATTCGGCAAAAGGCACATGACACAAAAATGTATTACAGAGCTATTCGTTATCGCAGGACATTATTATTTATAAACACGTAAACAGTTCAAAGAAACGAGGCAGCTTATTCATTAAAGAGTGGATTTACAACCGGCATTTTCTAAACCAAGGACAACATATCCAAGCCGGATGTTGGAAACATTTCCCAAATTAACTTTGTTTCTGTTATAAAATTTATCACTTTTGGTTAACATTTTCTGTTTTTAATATGTTCATAAAACTGTCCTGTGTTGGATATTTTCAGTGTTTTTTTTCCTTTATTTTGTAGAAAAAAATTGTAGTACATTTGAGAGGCAGGTAATTTTGGCATCAAATTTCAATTTAGTTTTAGTCATAGTCTTTTGACTATAAAGCAATGTTAGTTTTAGTTGTATTTTAGTCATCTGAATTGTTTTAGTTTTAGTCTAGATTTAGCCAACAAAATTAACACTGTTGAGAGATTTATTCACTGAACTACAAAATGTGCAGAATTGATAAAGGAATTGCAAACTGAAGGCGAAAGGATGAGCTGGGGATATAGGTGAGGACGATACATATTCCAGTTTGAACACTTTAGCCTAAAAATTGTAATTGCAATTTCAATTTTCATCAATTCTTCACAATTCCTTTGTGAAAATTAGCATCCACAGGTATAATTAGAAACTGATGGTATAATCAGTCGATCAAGGAAGAATCCAGACATAGGCTGGCAAAGTGTCATGGGAGTTGAAGTTCCAAAGCAGCTAAGGATTTTTCTACTTTGCCCATGTCTGCTTTAGAGTGTTGGAGACACCTCCAGTGGCCCCTTCTCAGATGGCTGCTAGAGGTTCTTCCTGGGGCAGTGCTGCACTGTGTGACAGACATTTAGTGTCTCCAGCCTCTGCATGGAGACACTGATCTTTCCTCATAGATATGCATTGATTCAATGTATCTCTATGAGGAGATGCTGATTGGCCATGGCTGTATTTGGCTTGTGCTGGCTCTGCCCCTGATTTGCCTCCTTGACAGTCTCAGTCAATCCTATGGGGAAGCAATGTGATTGGCTCAGGACACAACTTGTGATGATGTCAGCCAAGCAGGCAGATCAGGGGCAGAGTCAGCAGCTACAGACCTGAATAAAAGTTAGATTTTACTATATTTAGGGAGGCAGGGGGACTAGATTGTGTTTTTAACACTATAGGGTCAGGAATACATGTTTCTGTTTTGGCCCTATTGTGTTTCTTTAGGGCCAAACTAGCGTCCAGTTTGGCTTTTTTGTGCTAAAAGTTGAAATTAACTTCTAATTCAATTAGGAATCCCGACAGTTTGGAAATTAGCGAATAACCCCGACAATGTTTCTCAAACTATCTTTACATCAAATGGTTAAACTCATCTGCAAAGTTATAAAGGTTCTTTCAGAATGATAGATGCCAGTGAAATCTACTCATAACCTGAAACTAATGATTGTATCAAAAGGATTTTGTACTGTGTCACTTCTAGGCCTGACAGGAAGTTTAATGAGGTGTTATATGTCTTTGGGCTGAATGACACAGAAAAATATCCCCTATAACTCCTCTTGACCTGGAAACTTTGTAGACTGGGAAAGTCCACAATTATTTCATTTCTCATTTTATCATAATCAAATGTTTTATTTTTATTCTAGTTCGACTGACTTTGTGTAACACCAACACTTTTTCCTATACACATATCCCTTACACCAGGGCTGCGTAGAAGGCATATCTCCAGATATTGTAGAACTACAGCTGCCTTGATGCTTTGCCAAAGTTTTCAATTGCAAAGCTTCATGGGATTTGGAGTTCTACAACATATAGGGATCTATCATTTGTCCACCATATCTTTACCCCGTGCAATTGGATGGTATGTGATAAGTGATATTCTGTCTGCGCTTCTGGAAAATCCACTAAAGAACAATCTCAGCACCATCATCACTACAGTTCCTTGTAGTGGTTATGGTTCAAATAGTATTTGTGTTCAATATCAGTAATGGTAGAGGATTAGGCATCTACTTTTGGATTCCTGTTTAATCTATTGATTGATTTTCCTCCTGCCAAAATATCAATATGACTGCTAATAATTATTGGGCAGGACTTTTCCTGCACCAGCAAAACATGGTGGGTCTGAAAACTCTAGTGTGACCTGCAAAGGAAAAAACATCTCTTGGGTGATAGAATATTAGATAAAAGAAGTAGAAGAAGAACAAATTCCCCGTCGTCTTCAAATTCCCGAAATGTTGATGGTTCTGATGCATGTCTTAGTTTAGTGAATAAAGCCCACTTTCCCATTTCCACCAGTCAATGCATCCACAAGGGATGAATGTATAACAAGTAAAATAAATGTATATTTACGTTCTTACTGGCAACTCGTTAGGGCGAATCCTCTGAGAACATTTTGGACACAAGTTGGTTTTATTGTTTGGACATTCATTTTCCAAGTGGTCGGCAAGATGTTTTCGTCTGACCATTTGACCACAGCCAGTGTGACACTGGATTTCGGTGTAATCACAAAGATTCCTGTGATCCTGAAAAACACGGGGTGTGATTGGAAGTGCAACAGATCAACATCAAAACATTTTTGAGACAAAAATAAAATGGAAAAAACTACATACAGAGACCAGGAGGACTCATTGGTAACATTGTAATCTGATCTTACATCGAGCTATGTGACAGTTATTGTAAGTAATGCATCCAACACGTTTTTCTTCTTACACTGGCATGTGACCAAGAGGAAAAAACAAGGGTTTTAAACAAAGAAATTTTTAGGGGAATCACTTTCTAAAATACGGGTTTTCCCCTTTTTTGTGAACATTGCAGACTGAGCTTTCCTAATCTTCAGAAACCTATTTAAACATTTCTAAAGACTGTTGACTTAGAATCTTCGTTTGCTCATATTATGTAAGTCTACAAAAATCTACTTTGTCAGCAACAAATGCAATTTAAAATTTTTTTTTTTTTAATTCTTTATTTTTCCGTGCAGAGGTGATTACAGGCATGTGTCAAGTGCCACATCAGCACTCATAAATTGAGCATCAGGTTCATCACAGTGACATTGCAAAGAAGTGCACATTTTTGTTTATAAGTTGGAATAACAGTAGCATTAATAAAGTTAGTAACCGTTTGGCATATAACATTAAAACATTGGGAGGGTAACATTCTCATGGCTCATAGCTGTAGCGCAGTGGAAATGTAGCTGGTGTGGCTGTGGGGGGCACTAGTTGTCGGTATGAGCATAGGTAGCCTAGAGTTTGGGTCTGGAGTGTGATGTTCTGCCATGTATGGGCTTGCGCTGGGGTCGTGCTATGCTGGTGGAAGCTGTGCTGTGTTGCGTGGTAGGTGGTCTTTGCTTGGTGTGAGGTCGTAGCGCCTGTACTGTAGAGCCAGTTCTTGTATGGTAGTGATGTGGTACGCTGGTGGTCCATGTGCACGTGTCATGATAAAATTACTGGTAGCAATGCCTCTAGGAAGCCAAGCCCAGGTATGTTATCATTGATCACTGACACCATACCACACTTTATGGGTCTGTGACCTATATAATTGCAAGTTCCGGTAATAAGCCTTCCTATCTTTCCCATTGTGCCTTTGTGAGAGTGTTGACTTGCTGAAGAACCCACCACAGTTCCTGTCCGCCCCTTGCACTCACAGCACTGCTGCCCAAATACTTGCATCTATAAGTTTATGGCAGGGATAGGCAATCTTCCGAACTCCAGATACTGTGGACTACATAGCTCCTGATGCTTTGCCAGGGATTATGGGTTTAAGAGCTTTACAGGAGATGTAGTCCCTTACAGCCAGAGTGCCAAAAGTTGCCTACCTCTGGTTAATGGTATTAAACAAGGAATGAGCTCTCATTTGGTCAGGGCGTTGGGTACATGGTGTTAAAGTCACAGAACCCAACGAGTCAGAAAGTGAGTCACTTTCAGGGATAGGGTCAAACTCCTCATCATCTTTAAACTTCACCGGCCAACTCGGAGTTCAGTATTTGTATTTTACAAAAAAAAAAAATGGAACAGCCTGGTGTAAATAGTGCAATTTACATGGTTAATTTTGTATAATGACACATCATACTTACATCATAGTCCTTCAATACCCCAGCCCATGTGCATTCCGAGGTCGCGCAGTGAACTTTTAATTCCGAGATCTCTTTGTTAATGGCTACGTCGCTGAAGGACTGAAAGAAGTAAGAACATATATCACACTTTGTAGGGAAACAATGTGAACATTTCCAATAGCTTTTGAGCAGGGGAGCTCTAGCGAAAACAAGAATAACCTTGATTTCCATAAAATTTGTCAACTACATTTCCCATGATGCATCGCTGCTCAAGCTACTTGTCATTCTGAGACCTTCACACAGTGCAGAGCTTCGTGATCCAGTTAACTTAACAAAGCCAGAGCCATGCATAAAGAAACACTCCAGACACTATAACTACTACACTGCTCTTGTGCCTCCCATTGTAAGTAGTCAAACCGCTTGATTTCTTACCTGGGGTCCACCAGACTCCACTCTCCACCTCCTCTCAGCCTTCAAGAGAACTAAAAGCTTCTAATTAGTAAAGGGCCCCTCATTTGCTGAGAGTGTCATCTAACTCCCCAGGTAACAAGTCAAATCATTACAAAATGTAGGGGCTGGCTTTCAAGGTGAATGGATGCCAACTTATGCAGCTCCGGCCGGAGAGCACACCATCTGCTCCATCTATTTCCAGAGAGACGGCTCATATGGACTGATTCTTGAAATATTTTTTTTTAGTCTATACACCCTGCAAAGCATGCCCCTGTTGTTTTGTGAAAGTTTTATGAAAATTTTAAGTTATTCAACCTAAGGCCTACCACATCATGTGGGTCTACTTATTGCTCCTGAGTACTAGCCTGGACTGTACTGTGAAGAGAAACCATAGGGTTGATATGCAGAATTTCTGCTGCATGGAGCTGTGTGCCTTAAACAGGCTTTAAACATTCTCCCACCCGCCTTTGTTCTGGGATTCTGGTATGTTTTGCTAGACCCCCTGCCTAACTGTCTCCTTGTCTATTGACAACCTCTCTTTTGAGAACAATTACAACTTACCTGCTTCCATAATCTCTATTTGGAGGGTGTAACCTTCCTTGCGGAATCTAAAATTAGCTTCACAACCTGTAGTGGGCCAGTTTGTCGATGCCTCAGATGGTGGGCATGCAACTTGGCACTACCCCTGACTTTCTCATTTTTGCCTGAAAATGATACCTATGTCGCTTTCGCATGTGGGCCTGGTGTAGAGGGCCAAAGTCGATTGCCCGCAGTTCTGTAAGGAGCACTGTGGGCACCATAACAACATTATCAGAATTAAGTTGTAATGGTGTAAGGCACCGGCTTTTCTCAAGGAGTTAAACCATTAGTGAATGCTCTACGTCCACTGTAGTCCAAGGCTTGTCTCAGGAAGCCTTGGACAAGGATGCTGCTGATAGGCTGGGAACTGATGGGTGCACCGGAGCATCAAAAGGACTAAGCAGAATAGAAGCGAAGAAAGAAGTGGCTATTTTGGTCAAAATGTGCAATTCCCTAGTGGTGTCACAATTTCCCAATATTCTGAAAAAACCCTCTGCATTTTTGGGGCCTTATGGGTTCTATGGAACTATATAAATATAGATCATAAACAGCAGGGAATTTAACAACAAGCCACATACCTTTTCTTCTATTAACACGCATTCTTCTGACAGAGATGAAGGGTCTTCTCCTTCCCGGCATTTTGGACATATAGTCCTGTTTGTGCTACTGTTCCAAAAAAATAACAATTTTATTTTGTTATTCAATATGTAAGGTGTCTAGAATTAGTCACACAGTGAGCTTTTATACATTTGCCTGAACATAAATATAATAATATGGAATTATAACTGGTGGGTTAGGAGTGGAGAAAAGATTACATACGAATTATGGGACACAAATTGACCAAAAAAATTTAAAAATCTATTTAAAGCTAATTATAGCATGTAAAGCTCCTGAACGAAAATAAACACTATATCATGGAAATGGTCAAAACATAAATTGTCTTAAAGCGGATGGTGACAGTCAGTGCCTAATTACTCCGACAGTGACATTGCCACTGCGGTGGGGGAAGGTAAAGGTGATATTTGCTTACTTGAACCTTTCCCTCGCGGGATCAGCCATTTTGATCCAGCAGGTCCACTTTAGAGCCAACAGCACTGCTGTACTCTCGTGCATGTGCAAGAGTACAGCATTGAGGTCTATGAAGGATCCCGCAAGACCGCAGGATCCTCCACAGACACAGCCAATTACCTGTAGCCGTCACCGGTGACAGCTATCGCGATTGACACTTAGACTTCACCCTGAGTCTAAGAAAGTCAGGCGGAGGAGAAATACAGAGGCAAAGCAGTCCCTTATTTCTCTTTCTATATCTCATGACCGGGTTGTGGACTCTTTGTTTATGGAGTACTCATTTTTCTGGGGTGGTGACAATACCACTTTAACAAGGCTGTATAGGGGGCATTAAAGGGACACCATAGTCACACAAACAACAATCTCACAGGTAGATACATGCTAAGGTGACACTGCCCTTCTTCTGACCTCCAGTCAGATAAACTCAAGGAGGGAACAAAAAATAAAAGCAGAGGCTTCTAGTGTAATAAGTTAAGATGGATGTGAAGTAAACAAACAAATGACTGCTCACCTTATGACAAGCCTCTTTAACCTGGTTCTATGTGATAGAACCTGTGTGCCAATAATAGGGGACACAAACCCTTCTTTAGTGTTAGAGCAGATGATGTTTGGAATCCACAGGATGAATTGATAAGAAGCAAATACAAATTTATTAAAACATTGAAGTTAAAAAACAAATGATAAAATAAAGTAAGTCCATGGGCACTTCTTCCGAGACGTGTTTCACAGACTAGAAACTTTCTTAATCTCTGCTTTTATTTTTTCCTTCCTCCTTGAGTTTACCTGTGAGATCTGAGCCTGTTAACCATTAATATTCCTGGGTTACTCTTACGAAAAATACCAAAAAGTTCTTTTTTTTTTATACGACATAAAACGAAACCAAGAGTTTCTATATGAATGATGCTGCAAAAACTTTCAGAAGGGGTTTTTTTTTTTATGTAGAAAAGGGAAGGGAAGGCCTAATATGTGTTTAATAAAATGTGCGAAGTGGGAAGAAATTTTATTATAATTATTAATTGAGTCATACACGCATATTTATTTCCATTTTTCTTATTCTGTTATATATGTTTGTTTATCTACAACTAGTAAAAAATAAATTAATAAAAATGTAAAAAAAAATGTTTTTATAAAATGGAGATTCTCAATTAACTTCTAATTATTGATGTTTTTTAATTTTTTTTTACAAATTAAAAATTAATAGTTGGTGGGTTTATATACTGAACAAGAAACTGACAATGAAAAGGAAAATTACCGAGGTGATTTCAGATGAGTAGGTGGTAAGGGGACAACTAATTTACCAGAGTGAATAAGAAGTGAATGAATCACTTAATTTGGGGATACATTATTCTGATAATCTACGTACACAGGGAAAAAACACTAAAGTGTTTGTAACTCAAATAAGTAAGGAAAAAAAAAATTCAGGTACTCTTCCAACTGGGGAGGAGGGGTAAAAATGCCATAGTTACTTTCCCAAATGGGGGGTAAAATGTTCGGTACTCTCCCAGATCAGGGTAAAAAAGTTCAGGTACCCTCCCAAATAGGGAGTAAAATGATCAGGTAGTTTTCCAACTCACAGGGAGAAAGCTGCTTTCACAAATGGAAATAAAAAGTTTTGATATTCTTTTAAAAATTCTACCAGGGTTAAAGGTCAGGTAATCTCTTATCCAGATGGGAAAAAGAAAGTAGGTACTTTCCCAGGGAATAAGGAAATAGTTTAGGTAACGCATTCAAGAAGGGAGAGTTAGCAGAGTTGAGAGAATTTTAAACTAAGTGTTGCAGTTCAGTTTTAAATTCACTACATTTCAGTGTTCAATGAATAAACCTCACGGTGTTATTTTCACATCTGTGAACTTGCAGGAAGTCCTACAGATTTATTCACGAAAGACAGAATTGGGGGTAATTCTAAGTGTATTTTAAAATATTAAGATTTAAGGCCAATGTAGCCAGGGCCGGACTGGCCTACCGGGATACCGGGAAATTTCCCGGTAGGCCGCCAGCCCTGGGGCCGCTTTGACATGTGGCTGCACTCAGCCACAAGACATAATTTTTTTTTTTTTGTATAGGAGTATGCGGCCGCGCGGCGCACCCGCGCCGGCCGCTACTGTTTCCTGTGCGAGCGCACAGGCACTTCCTGGCAGCCGCCGGATGTGAGCGGATAATGACGACATGACGTCATATCCGGCGGCTGCGCGGCGGCGGCACTACTCAGCAAGCTTGACCGCGGCCTCTTCCCACTGCACCCACTGAACTGGAACAGTTTCTTAAGGTAAGAATAAGGGGGCTTGGGCTAGGGGGGACTCATTGTATTGGGGGCCATTAATGTATTTGGGGCATGGGGGGGGCAGCAATGTATTTGGGGGCATGGGAGGGAGGGATAGGGGGGCAGCAAATGTATTTGGGGCATGGGAGGGGGGGTGGCCAGCAATGTATTTGTAAGCATGGAGGGAGGGGGTGGCCGTGCATTTGGGGCATGGAGGGAGGGGGGCAAGGCTGCATTTGGGGCATGGGAGGGAGGGGGCAGCAAATGCATTTGGGGCACATGGGAGGAGAAAGTGTTAAATGTATTTGGGGCATGGGAGGGAGGGGGGAGGCAGTTAAATTCTATTTAGCATGGGAGGGAGGGGGGCAGCAAATGTATTTGGGGCATGGAGGAGGGGGAGGCAGCAATGTATTTGGGGCATGGGAGGGAGGGGAGGCAGCAATGTATTTGGGGCATGGAGGGAGGGGGGGGCAGCAATGTATCTGGGCATGGGGGGGCAGCAACGTATTTGGGCATGGAGGGAGGAAAAGGGGTTTTCAAATCGCATTACGGGGGCATTGAGGGGAGGGGGGGGCAGCAACGTATTTTGGGGCATGGGGGCAGCAAACTGCATTTTTGGGGCATGGAGGGGGGGGCAGCAATGTATTTGGGGCATGGAGGGGGGGGCAGCAATGTATTTAGGGACAGTAAATGTATTTAGGGGAGGGGGCAGTAATGTATTTTAAAGTATTAGGGGCCAGTAATGCATTTGGGGAGGGAAATAGTAATGCATTTGGGGAGGGCCAGTAATGCCTAGGGGCCAGTAATGTATTAAGGGGGGCCAGTAATGTTTTGGGGGAGGGGAGGGGGCAGTAATGAATTAGGGGAGGGGGGTCAGTAATGTAGTGGGGGAGGGGGGTGACCGCAGTAAATTAGGGGGAGGGGGGACAACAGTGTATTACATAGGGGGAAGGGGAGGCCAGATGTGTATTCGATGGGGGCGGGGGGCAGAAGTGTATTAGGGTGAGGGGGGGCGGGAAAGATCTGACTTGGGAATTTGAGATGAGGCAATGATTATATTTGTGACTGTCTGTCTGTGTGTGACTGTGTGTGTGTGTGTGGCTGTCGGTGTGTGTGACTGTCTGCCTGTGTGTATGTGTGTGACTGCCTGCCTGTGTGTAACTGTGTGTGTTTGACTGTCTGCCTGTGTATGTGTGTGGCTGTCTGCCTGTCTCTGTATGTGTGGATGTTTGCCTCGGTGTCAGTGACTGTCTGCCTCTGTGTGTATGGATGTCTTTGTGTGTGTGCATCTGCTAGTGAGTGAGCGTGCGAGCTTTTGTGTGTGTGTGCCTGCCAGTGAGTGAGCTTGTATGTGTATCAGTGAACTTGTCTGTAGGGATCATATGTGTGTGTACATGTTAGTGAGCTTGTCTGTGAGGAGCATGGGTGTGTCAGAGCCTGTCTGTGGTGAGCATGTGTGTACAGTGAGCTTGTCTGTAGTAAGCATGAGTGTGATCGTGAGCTTTTCTGTAGTGACCATATGTGTGTCAGTGAGCTTGCTGTAGTGAATCTGTGTGTTAGTGAGCTCTTCTGTAGGGAGCATGTGTGTGTCAATGGGCTTGTCTGTAGGGAGAGTGTGTGCGCATCAGTGAGCTTGTCTGTAGTGAGTGAGTGTGTGTGACAGTGAGCTTGTCTGTAGTAAGCTTGTGTGTGTATCAGATTTTGTCTGTACTAAATTTGTGTGTGTGCCAGTAACCTTGTCTGTGTTTGTGTCAGGATTACTGTTTGATCCAGCACGTAGAACTGTACAGCACGGATGACAAATAAGTAACATATTACCGGTCCTTAGAATGGCCGGATTTAACGTACAAAGAATAGTCAAAAATACTAGCCGAGGTCAGGGAACACAGAAAGGGACACAGCGATGAGGAAAGCCAGGAGTCAGGATACCAGAATATAGAGAAGTCAATAAACAAAGCCAAAGTCAAAAACCAGGTAGAAAACTATAAACAGGAACGCGCTCTCAGACAACCACAAGGGAAACCACGACAGGGCACTGAGCAGGCTGAGAACTGGGCCTAAATACCCCTCCTTTCTTTCTGATAGGCTGTAACCGGCCTTTGACCCCAAAGTCAGTTACCAGGTTTCATTTGCATAATTGCTGCTCAGCATTAACCCTTCTGTGGATTAGGTTGCTGCTCGGCACAACTTTTCCTGTGTGGACAGTAAATGTCATTAACAACATTTCTATAAGCGGATGAATACGTGACAGTTTGTCATTGAGATTGTCTGTCAATGAGCCTATTTGTGTGCATCAGTAAGATTGTCTGTGTCTGTGTGTGAGTATGCTTTACTGTATAATTTAATTACCCTGAAAGAAGAAATGTATCAATAATATATATATATATATATATATATATATATATAAGCTGTTGTACCTTGCACTCAGACTTCAAAGTTGTGTGACCGGGTTCATCACCAGGGCTTCAGTATCCAGGCAATTGAAATAGTTGGCTGCACTCTCAGATTTCCTTAATACATAACTTTTATTGAAATATTTAAGAGAAGATCAATGTTTCAGTCCCTCTTGTGGACTTTCATCATGATCCTGATGAAAGTCCACAAGAGGGACTGAAACGTTGATCTTCTCTTAATTCAATAATAGTTACATTTTAAGGAAATCCGAGAGTGCAGCCAACTATTCCAATTGCATATATATATATATATATAACACCCTACATAGCACAATGACTTATGGGGCTGGCATAGATTTTTTTCCAGGGCTGCTTCGTATCCCCAGTCCGGCCCTGAATGTAGCAGAGCTGTAAGCATAGCTGATTTGGAGAATTTTTCTGGTTCAACTGTTTTGGCCTTAAATTTAAATTTCAGTTTGAATTCCCAGCAATTCTCACCTCAGTATATAACCCTGATAGTGGATTCCTACTTTGTAGGACAAAATAATGATATGAAAACACTGATTTGAAGATATTTCCTAATATTGGACAAAGCTTCTCATACATGAGAGTGCAACAACTAAAAGCCGTGCAACAGGCTATGCCAGTTTCTGTCTGCACAACGTGAAAACAAATACAAACATTTCACTGAACGAAGAAAGTAAACTGAAAAACAAAACAAAAATAAACAGCAAGTCAAACGTCCCGCACCCTCACCCCAAAAACAAAATCCCAGACAGCAAGGCATACAATAGAAGTGTTTATTGCAAAATTCCAAAATTAACACATAAACAAAACTAATTTAAAAAGCAAAAAATACATACCTCCCAAGTGTCCTTATTTAGGAGGGACAGTCCCTATTTTCTACACAAATCCCTATATTCTACCCCAATGTCCCTCATTCCTAAGAGCTCCATATTCTTGGTGTGTCTGAGTGCATAAAAAAGCTCCAGAGCAATAATACTCCCAGTAATGTGTCTTTAACCCGTTACGGCGTTCTATGGTGTCCCACATTAAGTAGGCTTAAATGTTGTAACTGTGTGCATCCTCTGAGCCTCGGGGTATTTACCTACCCGGGCGATCGGCTTCGGGAGACTGCCTGATAACAAATTTGATTGCACTGACAAAGTATAATATATATCACATATTTTCATTCTACATGTATTTTGATATTAATTAAATGAAATTGTATATCTATATATATATTTATGTGTGTGTATTATTTTTACATAATTGTATGATTTTATTAATTATAATTGGTACCTGAGTCCAGACAATTTAATTTGCAAGCCCTTTATTTGACCCTGTAATTTTCCAAAACACCATAAAACCTATACATGTGGGATATTGCTGTACTCGGGAGACTTCGCTGAACACAAATATGTGTTGTAAAACATGATATCATCAGGAAAAGTTCAGTTTATGTGTGAAAAATGCAAAAATCAAATATGAATGCTAAATTTGACCAAGGTTTGTGACTAAATGGCTACTAAAAAGATTGGACACACCCTGTTTGGAATACCCTGGGTTGTCTACTTTTGCAAATGGTATGACATGATGAGGATAATTCTCATTTCGGGGCTGCCATACCGTTTCAAAGGCAACATAACCAATCTGGCAAATTTCAATGTGTAAAAATTTAAATGGGCATGCCTTAAATTTGACCCTGTATTACTTTCCAAAACACCATAAAACCTGTACATGGGGGACACTGTTGTACTCGTGAGACATTACTGAACACAAATATGAGTGTTTTAGAGCAGCAAAAAGTATAATGCTGATGATATAATTGGCAAAAGGGCAGTTTATTTATGAAAAATGCAAAAAAACAAATATGAATGCAAAATTTGGTCAGGGTTTTTGGCTAAGTGGCTACTAAAAATGACTTGAAACACTCCATTTTCGATACCCTGGGATGTCTAGTTTTTCAAATGGTATGCCATGATGGGATTAATTTTCATTCCTGGCCTGCTATACAGTCTCAAAGACAACATAGGCCCAGCAAACCAATCTGGCAAATTTCAGTGTGCAAAAATGGAAAAGAGGAAAGCCCTACATTTGTACGTGGGGGACACTGCTGTACTCGTGAGACATTGCTGAACTCAAATAGGTGTATTTTACTACAGTAAAACTAACAGTATTATGGTTTTCACATTTAAAATGCAATGGAGAGCTTGGAATATAACATTTCTTAATTTCTAACCCCCTTTTTAGAGTGTATTCATATTAAATTATGTGTCATATATAAATATTTGATGTGAAACGAAAGCCCTGCTTCTCATGAACAAAATTATATATGTGTGGGTGCACTTAATTTGAAATAGATAAATTATGGTTGAACAGACTAAATATCTCAAATTCTAGGGTTTGTTTACATTTTCTTTTGATCAGAACGTGTACAATTGCCGCTGTCCCTAAGGGGTTAAGCTACAATAAATGTATTTAGAAGTCAGTCTGTGTAAATAAGATACATTGCTCTTTGTTTAAATTCATTTTAGTTGCATAAATTGTTGTTAATAAGTTACCAACAATTTCTTATTACAAACCCTTGCTGCCTGGTCATCCCGCATCCCCACTCCCCACTCCCCACACACACACCCTCTTTGTCCATATAAAACTTTGAGAAGTATAGAAAATGTGTACATGGAAAGTATTTCACACACACAAAAAACATTTTTTTTAAAGGAAATAATTACTTGCATTGAGTTTCCAAATAAGTCATCACAACTTACTGTTTAGTAATAGATGTGGCCACTTTCATTTTATGGGCTATAGATGGATAGCCTGCTGATAATGTAATTTAAAACAAGATAAACGCATCATATTCACACAGACTGATTTCTAAACACATTTATTGTAGTTTAAAGACACATTACTGGGAGTATTATTGCTGTGGAGCTCTGTTATACACTCAGACACATTACTGGGAGTATTATTGCTGTGGAGCTCTGTTATACACTCAGACACATTACCAGGAGTATTATTGCTTTGGAGCACTGTCATACACTCAGACATTACTGGGAGTATTATTGCTTTGGAGCTCTGTTATACACTCAGACACATTACTGGGAGTATTACTGCTGCGGAGCTCTGTTATACACTCAGACACATTACCAGGAGTATTATTGCTTTGGAGCTCTGTCATACACTCAGACACATTACTGGGAGTATTATGGCTGTGGAGCTCTGTTATACACTCAGACACATTACTGGGAGTATTATTGCTTTGGAGCTCTGTCATACACTCAGACACATTACTGGGAGTATTATTGCTGTGGAGCTCTGTTATACACTCAGACACATTACTGGGAGTATTATTGCTGTGGAGCTCTGTTATACACTCAGACACATTACTGGGAGTATTATTGCTGTGGAGCTCTGTTATACACTCAGACACATTACTGGGAGTATTATTGCTGTGGAGCTCTGTTATACACTCAGACACATTACTGGGAGTATTATTGCTGTGGAGCTCTGTTATACACTCAGACACATTACTGGGAGTATTATTGCTGTGGAGCTCTGTTATACACTCAGACACATTACTGGGAGTATTATTGCTGTGGAGCTCTGTTATACACTCAGACACATTACTGGGAGTATTATTGCTGTGGAGCTCTGTTATACACTCAGACACATTACTGGGAGTATTATTGCTGTGGAGCTCTGTTATACACTCAGACACATTACTGGGAGTATTATTGCTGTGGAGCTCTGTTATACACTCAGACACATTACTGGGAGTATTATTGCTGTGGAGCTCTGTTATACACTCAGACACATTACTGGGAGTATTATTGCTGTGGAGCTCTGTTATACACTCAGACACATTATTGGGAGTATTATTGCTGTGGAGCTCTGTTATACACTCAGACACATTACTGGGAGTATTATTGCTGTGGAGCTCTGTTATACACTCAGACACATTACTGGGAGTATTATTGCTGTGGAGCTCTGTTATACACTCAGACACATTACTGGGAGTATTATTGCTGTGGAGCTCTGTTATACACTCAGACACATTACTGGGAGTATTAATGCTGTGGAGCTCTGTTATACACTCAGACACATTACTGGGAGTATTATTGCTGTGGAGCTCTGTTATACACTCAGACACATTACTGGGAGTATTATTGCTGCAGAGCTCTGTTATACACTCAGACACATTACTGGGAGTATTATTGCTGGGAGCTCTGTTATACACTCAGACACATTACTGGGAGTATTATTGCTGCAGAGCTCTGTTATACACTCAGACACATTACTGGGAGTATTATGGCTGTGGAGCTCCGTCATACACTCAGACACACCAACAATATGGAGCTCCTAGAAACGAGGGACATTAGGATAGAAAAGAGAGACCAATAGATTTGAGTCTAAAATAAGGACTGTCCCCACCCAAACAGGGTCATTTGGTAGGTATGACAAATCACAGCTCTAGTTTCCATAACTGTAAATCTAACCGCAACTCCCACAAATACAACTCAAAGCTTCCATAACCCTAGGAAACTGAGGGCACTCTAGACACGGTGGCTGCCCCTACTATCAGTCTCATCCAGGCTCAACCTCTGGTACTTGTTCTCCGTAGCATATCTGTGAAACTCCCTAAAACCTGTAGCCTTAGCTTTTATAACTCACTGTCTCTGAGTCTAACACCCATAAGGCTTCAAACATCTCCAGTTCTCACTAATCTAAACTTCCATAGCCCTAACTCCCATTAACCTGAGCTTAATGCTTATAATGCCAACATAAATGCCCTGGTACATCCCCTCGTTATGTGTCAAACAATTTTTGAGCAGTTTGAACTGAGGGAACACCAGGAGGTCGGCACATTGCTACAGGAGGAGGAGGAGTTTTTACATTTGAGCATTCTCAATGTTGTCTATATTGTGATGGTACTAATAGGCTAAGAGTGTCAGCTGACACTTGGACAAAATTGATATTATTATTGAGGAAGTGTAATTCCTGGATCAGAAATATGGCCACGTGGGTTAGTCTCTGAAGAATCGGAAATGTTTTGATGTAGAATTGATTGGTGGTGAGATTTATTAATTTTTGTAACTTTTTAAAATTATTTGTAATTTTTTGTTTCTTTACATACATTTTATTAATACATTACCATGACATTACGAAAATCACATGGTAATAGGAGTAGGTGATGTGTAAAGTCCCCTTGTGGGACTCTACACATCACCTTCTCCTATTACCTACATATTTTGGAGGGTTACCCCCTCATTGGAGCTCCATATTAGGTGATTACAGTGGTGCAGCTCATGAGCCCTTGACTTATATCCGGACTCCTGACCTGCACTCGGTTTACTTTATTTCTCCATTTTACGAAAATAACATGTCGTCTGTTACTTGGAGTGGCCTTTTCATTTTATTTCCTATTCATGGCGCTCGTACCTACTGAACCTACTAGGGGTATTTATCAGCACAGAGAACTGTCAGTGCAGATATGCAAACAGCACAAAAGCAAACTGCACATAAATTAAGGGTGTGACACATACTATCCATGCGGACAAAGCAATGACAACACGATCAATAAATGGCAGACTCACAGCTGATCACCTAGCATTCAGAAGCAGAAAGCATATCCCATGACCGACTAACCATTTTACTGCCTACCCTCTGGCTTAAAAATAGACAGTCACACAGACGGACCAATACATTGGCTCTATCTCTCAAATCAATATATCTCTCACTATACGTAATGTAGCATTCTGCTTTGTAGATGTTCTCCTCAAACTGATGAAAAAAATAAGAATTTTAGGCCAAACTGAGAAAGATTGTTCAACTCCGTTAATTTTAATCTAAAATGTTTTAATTTCTTTTTTTTTACTTCTCCACAGTTCTCGATTTAGTAAATAAGCCATGTATGGGTTACATTAAAGCTGACGGATGAGGTATACAAACCTGGCCAGTCGAGACAAGCACTGAGCGCAGTACCTGTGACCGCACATCGTCTGCACTGCTTTCCTCAAGATGTTTTCGCAGTGGCAACAAAGATATTTTCTCTCTGGTACATCATTGCAGATAACCTTGGGATAGCCATAGTCATTCATGTTGCAGACCGCGCTTTAAGTTTTTTCAAAAATGTTAATCCAGTGAAAATGTAGAGAAATGGGCCGCTTACAAGGAAAAAATGGTAAGAGCTGTATCTACGAGAAAACTTGAAATAACTGACTAAGTTGAGAAACTAATGTAGAAAGCAATCCCTAGTTATAGTCACGTCCTCTGACAGTCCCCTGTTGAAATAAGCAGAAAACGGAAAGTACACATAAATTCCCCTTTGTATTTTGTGATACTCCTTAGTATCACAGGGGAATTTCTGCTTTTTGTAGTTTTAGTTCCTTGCTGCTCACGGATATAGAGAATCTGAAAGCGAAACAAGATTACTTCTACAGTCCAGGAAGTGTCTAACATTCTCTGCGAGCTGGCTCGAGATACAATCAGATCTTTATTTCAATTTGAGTTGAGTCATTTCATTCGCTAATACCCAGCGAAAGAGCTGAGAAAGTTTCGCAAGAATTAAACGGGGGGGAAAAAAACATGAAAAACGTGGCACAGTGATAGGAAGAGAAAGCAATGTGTGTAATGGGAGTGGGCAAACTGTGTATGATGGGAGTAGGCTGTCTGTGTGTGGTGGGACTGGTACACCTCTGTATGATGGAAGCTTTGGGCATCACTTTTTAGCTACAATTTTAATGACAGGAAATTTGGTCATGTGAGCGTGCATGTCTGTGTATGTGTGTACACACACATATACAAATAAATAAAAACACATACATATATTAAATTGTTTTTTCTCTAATGCAATTATTATGAAAAATAAAATAAAATCCTGCGCATGTTTGAAAATATACTTAAATTAAACAAAGTAGCAACATTATAATCAGTGGCGTCTCTAGGATTAAATTTTAGGAGGGGCATACGGTGGGCCAGGGACAAAAGTAGGGGGGAATATTTAACCCCGCCCTCGCCACAGTTTGACCCCGCCCCTGCCGCATCTTAAGCCCCGCATCCGACACAATGTGGTTTTTGTTTTGTTTTTTTAATAATCCCTGGTGGAGAATTCATTATTTTCCACCAAGGATTATTAAAAAACAAACACATTTCCCTTGATACAGTCCATACACACACAAACAGACTGCTGAGTCCTTACACACACAGAGACTGCTGAGTCCAAACACACAGACAGACTGCTGAGTCCATAAACACACAGACACGCAGACTGCTGAGTCCATACACACACACACACACACACACACACACAGACTGCTGAGTCCATACAGACACACACACACAGACTGCTGAGTTCATACACACACACACACACACACACACACACACACACAGACTACTGAGTCCATACACACACACAGACTGCTGAGTCCATAAACACACAGACACGCAGACTGCTGAGTCCATAAACACACACACACACAGACTGCTGAGTCCATACAGACACACACACACAGACTGCTGAGTTCATACACACACACACACACACACACACACACAGACTACTGAGTCCATACACACACACACACACACACACAGACTGCTGAGTCCATACACACACACACACACACACATACTGCTGAGTCCATACACACACAGACTACTGAGTCCATACACACACACACTGCTGAGTCCATACACACACACACACACACACACAAGCTTCCTCACTAGCAGATAGACAGACACACACACACCTGAGGATATCAAGCCTACCTGTCACTGGCGGCTGTTGCTGGGGGTCAGACACCCATGGTCTGCTGCTTAACGGCAAGGGTGGGGCTTACGTGTGGGAGGCAGTGCTTAATTTGGGGGCAGAGCCTGTGCCGGGGAAGCTGCTGAAAACAACCAGTACCTTCCAGCCCCTCAGTCCTGCATTCCCTCTGGCTGTCACAGACTGTTACAGTCTGAGAGAATAGAATCTAAATTTGAGGGAGTACAAGGGGGGCACAGCATGATGTAGGGGGGGGCCTCCTCGTGGTTCTCCCACATGTTGTGGTCACATCACATTATTTAAAGAAACCAATTAAAGGCTAAAAAGGTATCGAGCAGAAAAACTCACCCACAAGAAGCATTAAAGAAATGATGCCATAGAAATTTAATTAATCCATTATCAGATTATTTAGATTTATGAGAGAAGTAAAAGAGACTTTAAGAATACAGACACACTAAATAAACTACTTAGGTTAGTTATAGGAATCAAATAATACTAAGAACTGTTACAGGGCCCCAAAATGGTAACCAAAAAGCAGAATGCTAACACTTTATCAATGGCACCATGATTTTTTAATCAGTACTTCGTAGCCCCTTTCCCGTCTCACACCCTGCAGCCCCTGCCCCCTCTTACACCCTGCAGCCCCTGCCCCCCTCTCATACCGTGCATCCCCGTCTCCCCCTCTCACCCAGCAGCACCTGTCCCCCCACCCAGCACCTCTGTCTTCCCCTCTTAGCTTGCAGCCCCATGTCCCTTCTCATACCCAGCATCCCCTGTCTCCCCCTCTTATACCCTGCATCCTCTATTTTCCCCTCTAACCCAGAAGCTTCTGTTCCGCCACCCTGCACTCCCACCACTATTCATCTCTCACCCAGCAGCCGCTGCCCCTTCCTCTCACCTTGCAGCCCCTGCCCTGCTGTCACCTTGCAGCTCCATGTCCCCATACACTGCAGCCCCTGTCTCCCACTCTCACCCATCAGCCCCATGTCCCCTCTCACACCCTGCCCTTCCTCTCACCCAGCAGCCTCTCTCATACCCTGTCTCTACAGGTATATCAGGTAGGTACATTTTATCACTTTTAGGTGAGTTGGGTATCAGTGGTGACACTGTCAGTACAAATATAGAAAGACCTTGTGCAGGTGTGCTTCAGTCAGAGAGTTGTGTCTATACAATACAATACCGGCATAAGTTCATATGGCAGGTCATATGGGTGGGGCGTTGTGATGTCACATGGGGGGGTGCGGCAAATTTTTCTTTTGCCTAGGGCGGAAAAAATCCTTGCACCGGCCCTGGCAGCACAGCAATCGTTTTCTACACCCATCAAGTTCCCAGATGGTTAAGTCCGGTCAGAAATTATTGACTAGGTTCCTTTTGGGTTGAGCACCTCAACCCTCCACTATTGATGCCACTGTGGATATGACTTAAGGAAAGTATACATTGAAGAGAGTCTCTGAAAGCAGTTTATGCAGTAAGTATTGCAGTTAGCATGTAAATCCCCCATGTTAAAATTAGTGTCAGACACCCATGAAAAAGGCAGCCAATAGGTGCCGAAACGTTGGGGTAATTGGTGGCTCGTGTTTCTGTCATAGTAAGCTTGTGGAATTTTGGTAATTATTATTGTTTACTATTTTGCTTGTTAGTTGTCACTTTATTTTCTGCTTTATGTATGTAAACATTTTCTTGTTTAATAAAGGTTTATACATTTTTAAGTGGTGGTTATAGTGTGCATTCTCTATTTTTGCATTCATAGATGTTTGAGCACTTGAGGGAGTGCCTGAGAGAATTTGCACCTAGTGTTACTATCATATTTATGTTGTCTCTCCATGCGTTGTTGTTGTTATTATGGGATACATTCCCTACCTTATCAACGAGGAAATAACTGGCTACGGCTGACTGTACTTTCCGAGGGATTAGATTAAAGGAGTCCCCTGCAGCTACCCTGCAAATAACCTGAATTTTCACTCTAAAAAAAGTCTACATTCTCAGGTGTTTTCAGTGCAAACCAAAATATGCCTAATATTTTGACGATCAAGCTGAGATTTTTCTAGATGTTAACTATGAGGAAATCTTTCTCAATTTCACAGGAATTACCCAGAATGTAAACTGGGGCAGTTTTAAAGGGACACTATAGGCACCCAGACCACTTCAGCTCAATGAAGTGGTCTGTGTGCAATATCCCTGCCCCCTTAACCCTGTAATGGTAATTATTACAGTTATTTAGAAACTGCACTAATTACCATAACAGGGTTAACTCCACCTTTAGTGGCTGTCTACCAGACAGCCGCTAGAGTGACATTTGGGTGGTTAGGTGACTTTTGGTCGCCTAACTGACGCTGGACGTACTCGCTATACATGCGGACATCCAGTGTCAGCTAAAACCCCATAGGAAGGCATTGATTTACTGCTCTCCTATGGAGTTGTGTCATTGCTATTGCATTGATAGCTGCGCATGTGCATTAGAACGAGGAGCGGAAGCGGAGCCTGACCCAGCGCCAAGGGACATTGTTTCTGGATTCAGGTAAGTGCCAAAAACTTTCTGCTCTGCAGGGCTTGGGGAGGGGGGGGAGGTGCATGGGCAAGGGGGGCACTGTAGGGTACAATTTTGTATTCTTACCCTAAGTCCCTTTGAATTGTTTTGTATATGTGTGAAATTGGTTCCTCTTGTTTTATTTGAAATAGTAAAAAAAAAAATAACTATTAAGAGACACTTACACCAAATGATTTCTGTATATAAATCAGTAGCGTTTCCAATACATTCATACTGCAATCACTAAAGTAGACTGGGCTAGTGGCAGATGGTGCAGTATGTAGATGTTGGATACAATACAGAATACATACAAACCTAACTAGCCACAGACACCCATATATACCTACATAACTAGCCACTTACACTAATTAACCACAAATACATACATACATAACTAGCCACAGACACACATATACATAACTAGCCACTAATTAACCACAAATACATACATACATAACTAGCCACAGACACCCATATACATAACTAGCCACTAATTAACCACAAATACATACATACATAACTATCCACAGACACGCATATATACCTACATAACTAGCCACTTACACTAATTAACCACAAATACATACATCCATAACTATCCACAGACACCCATATACATAACTAGCCACTAATGAACCACAAATACATACATACATAACTAGCCACAGACACGCATATATACCTACATAACTAGCCACTTACACTAAATAACCACAAATACATACATCCATAACTATCCACAGACACCCATATACACAACTAGCCACTAATTAACCACAAATACATACATACATAACTATCCACAGACACCCATATACATAACTAGCCACTAATTAACCACAAATACATACATCCATAACTATCCACAGACACACATATATACATTAATAACTAGCCACGAATGAACCACAAATACATACATACATAACTAGCCACAGACACGCATATATACATTAATAGCTAGCCACGAATGAACCACAAATACATACATACATAACTAGCCACAGACACGCATATATACCTACATAACTAGCCACTTACACTAATTAACCACAAATACATACATACATAACTAGCCACAGACACCCATATACATAACTAGCCACTAATTAACCACAAATACATACATACATAACTTGCCACAGACACACATATATACATTAATAACTAGCCACGAATGAACCACAAATACATACATACATACAGAACTAACCACTGACACACATATATACATACATTACTAGCCACTCACACTAATTAACCACAAATACATCTATAAAATAAGCAGCCGCTTAGTAGATAACTCACTAATTCACACGGTATTAGGGAGCTATCTACCAAAAGGCTGTAAGACGTAAATTGGTCTTTCAGCCACATTTACTAATACTAAGTAAAGATTACTTAGTATTAGTAAATTCAGCCACTACTCGCTATACCGCGAGTAGGGGCATGTCTAGTAAACAGTGGCTGCTCACTGTAAAAAAAAAACCTATTGCCCCCACCCCTGTGCGACGGGTGGGGGCCCTAAATAAGAATGTGAAGGGGGGACCTACTGTCCTCCCCCCCGGGCCCCCACCCCTGCGCGGTGTGTGGGGGCCATAAATAAAAAAGGGGGGGAACCTACTGTCCTCCCCCACAGCCCCCACCCCTGAGCGGTGGGTGGGGGCCATAAATAAAAATGGGGGACCTAAGGTCCTCCCCCTGGCCCTCACCCCTGAGCGGTGGGTGGGGGCCATTAATAAAAAATGCCCCCCCCCCAGGTGGCTAGGGGTCCCCAAACCCCTAGTCACCCCCCTCCCAAAAAAATTACCCCTACCTACCTCCCTCATCCTAAATATAATGAGGGGGGAACCCTTGTCTAAATACCTGTAAAATTAGGCTACAATTAGGCTCAGAGCACTCTGATTGGTGAGTTTAAGCCGTCTTTACTGCACGAACTGAGCAGGCTAGCTCAGGGTGTTCGCGCGTGTTCGCGCTTACAATTGTGCGAACGGAGGGGGCACGCTCAGTTCGTGCCTCTCCTGCACGAATGTGAGGGAAGCTCTCAGTGCGCTCAGTTGCACAAAATGACTGGGTTCGTATAATAACGTTTTAAAGAGATCTTCTGACAATCTGAAGGTGATTTCGGATTTGGATCTAACAAAGGTGGGTGTTATTACCCTAGGGAGTGGGATAGCCAGTTAGGTTTTACCGAGTAACCTGGCAAGGGGTGAGCCCCATTTGGGAAATATCCTTCAGTGCTGCCTAACGGAAGCTGTTCAAGCAGTTCCGACCGACT